TTGCTCTAATAATGGCTCGTGTTTGCCTTTCAACGATCGAACTTTACAAAGCATCGAAAACGATGATCGATAGTTGAAAATAGTTCAACTCTCCAAGCTCAGTAAATATTGTATCGACGCACATTATAATTGGCTTATAAAAAGAAGCCTCGAAACTCGATTTCTTTTGTTACGCGAAACAACTCAAACCTACTACGCTTTGGCACAATGGGCACTTTTATCAATTTGTGCGGGCGAGCATTAAAGTCCGACAAGTGTCTCTATAAATTATGGCATGGATGAGTGTAGGCGGCAAAGGCAGCCACGTGCGACTGCTGTTGTGCGTGTTCTGCCTCTTGGCTCCTGATGCTGCAATGTCGTCGTTATAATGAATTTCGCGATGTTCACTTCTGTTTTTCGATGCGCTTGATTAATGATGTAATCGATATAATTTCAGCTAAAGGTAAGGAGCTTCTCGAAAATCCCAAAAGCTGGCTGTTTATCGTGGGTCACGAATGCGATGCTCGTTTGTCATTGTGTATACACGCTTACGTGATTTTTTATTTATCGCCGCTCGATCCCTAATAGAAGCGTCATTAGGCATCATTACTTGTTTAAACGATGAAGAAAATCGATATGGCCGAGCTGCGAAATCATATCGGAAGGATCTCGTCGCGTATACGGCTCCCCCCTTCAAGAGAGCAGCGAGAGCGAGCGAAGCAAAAAGCGTATACGCGTGGGGCCTCCCCGTGTAGCACAAGAGCCAAGTACGGCCGAACCCCGAGCGAAATTTCGAACTACGTCGGGCTAAAGTGTTCTTATTACCGGGCGTAAGTGTTTCGCATGAGGCAGCGATTCCGCAGAGCTCGCACGTGTAGGCCGCCGTATTTATGTACATTAGTCGCAGTCAAAGGGCAAGCGCATGTTGCGGTGTATGAGTCGCGACACGTTTCTCATGGCTCTCGAGAGTACGCGTAGACCGCAGCAGCTAGTACAGCTCGCATATTACAGCCGATTCGAGTACACAGCCCAAAGTCTGCTGCTACTCGCTCTTGTGTATGTGACAAAAGTACACTTGAAAAGTTGAGTTTTTCTTCTTCGTTGAGCTTTACGAGGGATGCATGGGATATGCATCGTCAAGTGTCGAATGTTACACGGCAACTATATAATGCGTATTCAATATTGGGGTGCTGGTCATGCCTCTCTCGCGAGGTCAAAAAATTAATCGTAAATTTCCAACCACCGACGAGCTCGAGGCTCCAAACCCAATTAACCGATCGTGTCGCATCTATCCGCTCGTACGATTACTAGCGCGGTGGTTACAATGCGCGTAAATACGTGCGACAAGCGCGCGTTAAATAGCAATATAAATCGAGGCTGTTGCTGCTGCTGTTGCTGCTGCTGCTGCGTGGCGGGTCATCCGTGTGATGAGGCCTCTTTGCCTACATGCATCATAATCGATATACATAGATCGGAATCGCTTCATTAGTTTCGCGCGTAACACTGCACGTTTCGATGGATAATTATTATATACGGCGCATAAATTTCGAAGCCCGTTAATTAAGCGAGCTACGCTTAAATTGGTCGTTCGCTCGCGAAATTCCAAAACTAGTAGGCGAGCGGCATGTCTGACAATTGCACGGCACATCCCCGCGCGTGTGAGAGCGTGCATCATTCATGCCTCTGGGCAAAATATTATTCCATCGTGAAATATGATTGCGAGATTATAATATATATTCGTTCTCTCGCTCTCTAACTCATACAGTTCGATTCCCAACGGAAGGATATGCTCCAATAGCGTGTGATTTTCTGATTAGAGCTTGCAAAGCGTGGGGTGAGAGGCTTTTGGCAGTTATAGCAGCTATTCTCTCTTTCTCTCTCCTCTCTCATTCACTTTCTCTCTCTCTCTCTCTCTCTCTCTCTCACTCTGCCAAAGCTTACGTGCGTATAGCTAATATACATATAGCCGTTGCTATTCTGCGCGGACTTGATTTGCACGCCATTGCTATGCATGGACTGGGATTCGCGACCGAGCAGAGCCACCGCCAGCAGCACTGCGCCTTCTCCTCTTCTGCTGCCTCTCGCGTTCATTCTCTTCGTTCTGCTCTTCTTTTGCTCTCTCTCTCTCTCTCTCTCTCTTGTCGCCTTGCCCAGCTGGGCGACATCATTCGCCATGATGGCGCTCCAAAATCGTTTTCCTCGGGCTGCTGTTGCGACTGTGAGGAGGTTTTTATCGCGAGAACAGTTCCAAGAGACATGTCCGTATTTACAAAAAAGCCCTCAACTTCGCTACGTCACGAGAGTAGCGAGCCCCGCGTGGATTATTCCCACTCGGCGCAATTTTTCCTTTTCTTTTCTCATCCTCCCTTCCTGATTGACCACACTGTAAACAAAAGCGATAAATATTCGGCAAACGATATTATCGCTAATCAAGCCACGATTTGATCAGCGCGTGTGCACGTATAAGATGGTAATTTGTCGTCAGCCCCTAAATTCGTCGTGTTGAGAAGTCGAGTACGTACGGGATATCGGAATAGACGTATCCATATGCATACATACGTATCAGTCGGCCAACATTTATTCCCTACCACGCATATATATGTATATTATTAACGGTAAACACGAGGGGTGTACTAATGCACACATGTATATATACGCAGCCGCGTGTGTACGTGCGCATTTATTGCGCACGAGGGTAGAGAAGCGGGGATGAAAGACCGCCCGTGGCTTAGATTTGCTCGACGCGTACATGTACACAGAGGCAAACAAACTTGGACGTAGAAAACAATTGGCCACACCGACTCTCGCAGCTCCAGCTCTAAATCGTATAATTGTATTCATCTATATTGTTATGTATATGTATATTTATCGTGGAGCTCCGCGTGCACCCTTCGCCACCGCGACGACGATATCTATATACATATATGTATGTTGTCGTATACGCACTACAAGTTGGAGTGGATGGCACTTAACTACCGTGCGTCGGTGCACCGCACTCGTATACACGAGTTCCAGTCTATGTGTATATACTTGTGCGCTCGACAACACGAATATGTATTGGTGTATGCGCGCGTAACGGATGGAACCGCGAGTTTTATTGGTTTGCGTGAGAACGCGAGGCCAGCAAACGAGACAGAAGTCGACCATGCATTCACCGTACGTGGCAAGAGATTCGAAAGAGAGGCGAAAACAGTCGAATTTTGACATTTGGACTTTGAGCGATACGAAGATTCTCTCTTATAAAACGACACGCATATTGTCGTTTGGGGTTAAAAGTGATATAAATTTCATCCCTCTAATACCCCTTTCAAATTCCATGTGCGCATTCGAAAGTTGATAAACTTTTTAGACTTTCATCGACATACAGTTCAGATCGCCAATAAAATAATCACTCGAGTTTGTTGCTCACTTGAGCGTGTCACCATCGTCCTACTCGCAAGGGGTGGGAACCTGGTGACTCTTGCGCTGTGCAAGTTATATAAAATGCTTGAATTTTGACAGGCTTTTAAATGAACCGCTGCTGCTCGCGCGTCGAGTAGCTTTTTATACGCTTTTCTCGCGTCGTAGCGGTGGTGCGTCCCTTCGGGGTGAGGAAACGTGTTGCTTAATCAAGTGCTCCGTGTCGCCGCGGCTACCACTTGTAGTATCACTTGGTTGCTTACGTAAGAGGCTTAATCGAGCGCCATGAGAAACTTATAACTTTTCGAGATCCTTTTTAATTAAAAATTGCGCTCGAATTTTCACTTTTAATCGAATAACCAACCGTACACGTCAGTCGAGTACGTATTTTGATATGTTTGTAGGTAATTGTTTAGCGTTTGCTCATTTTTACGGCCTCGTTTCGTGAGAAAGTACAAGAATACTTAAAAATCTTGTGAACGTCAACCTTTATCTCCTTACTTTGTATGAAAAATTACGATACTTATCGATGATTTTTGTTGAGTATTCCGTTGCTCGGATATTTCCCAAAAAAATTCCACTAAGTTGAACGTGAATTGTGGTTCCGGGCACGCGTAATTTATCCCGAGTCACAGGGCAGATTTAACCATGGGGAAAGAAAGAAAAAAAAACGAAAAAATCGCGCTTATATATCGATGAAAAACGAAATGACAAAACTTGGCTTGATTCATGCATGCGTACGTAGCAGCGTATAGACACAAAGATTAGCAAATTTATCCGTCACATGTCTCGCAGGCGCTCTAACTCTCTTTCTGCTCTTTGGCCAGTGCCAATGCACGTGCAGGAAAAGCCCGATATACGAAGCTACGGACCGACCAGATTTATTACTCCGGATCCGCAAATACGGTAAAACTTCTCCGTTTCCGGCCTGACGACGGCAAACTTTTTTATCCGTCTCTCTTTTTCTCTTGCTTACTCGATTCCTCGCGATATATACAAGGGGCGCGCCTTTATACTACCTTACATACGCGTATAAACGAATGTTCTATCCACCCACTTGCCATTTCAATGAGACATACCAAACAGAAAAAAATTGTTTCTTCTCCTTCTTGAAGCTAAAAAATTATAAAAAATCAAAAAATTATCGATTGGTTTATCTCGTTTTACAATAAAAATTGTGGAACATAGAATAAACGAATGACAAATGGTGAAGTTAAAATCTATCATAAAACATTTATCAAATGAATTACATTCAGAGTACTTTTTTGGTGATTTCAACGAGCAGTAGGCTCAAAAACTTTAAATATTATTTTTGAAAGGAAATCATGGATAGCTTTTATAATATTTTAAACTCGCTTTAAAATCTTAATAAGATTTGGCTATTTTCGTAGAATCGCACAGCACCTTGTCAAAACGTCTAGTAACTTTATCCGGATTTTTCCCCTAAACTCAAAGACGTACCACAAAGTAGTTTCTGTAAAGAATCTCACGTTGGAAGAGGTACATTTTTTTGTAAGTTTCTATTTACTTATAAAATCTTTAAAATAGAAATATTCACATTGTTTTCGCTCAGTGAAGAAGATGAAAAAACCCTTCCAGGGCATAACTTGGTCCCATTTGAATTATTGTGCGTCTATTAAATGAAATTACGCTGTGATATTAGTTATTCAACGACATACTGATGTAATATTTACCTGTTGGAGTTTTCTTTATGTTACTAATTAAAGTTTTTTTATAGTGTAACCTTGGTCCCACTCCAATTTTTTTTGATACCACTCCAAACTTTTTACCGTAATTTTTATAAGCAGCATTACAATGGGCATGTGTACTCATTCTCCTCGAAAATTTTTTGAAGAAATTAGACAATTTTTTACGAGTCTTCCCAAGCCTACTACGCTCCCGTGGATTTACCTATTACGAGACGATAAAAATGTAACATTTAAAATTATTTAATGAAATAAATACATCATTATTAGGTGGGCTACAAATTTCACTTGGAAATCCCTATTTCGAGAAAATGAAATTAAGCATTGAAAATTATCTATCAACATTTTGAATCGATAATATAAAAAAAGTACCTCTGCTGCCGCAGGTGCCAACGGATGTTCTCGTCGAAACGACATTGGATATTGTCTGTTTTTCTATTTCGAGACGATAAAAATAAAATATTTAAAATTTTCTATCGAAATATCTGATTAATAAAATCAAAAAAGTTACAAGTGGTACGTACATCAACAATTTGACCACGAGGTTCAGATGCAATTTGCTGTTTCGAGACAATGAAAATAAGACATTGACAATTATATGTTGCAATTTTTGATTAATATAATGAAAAAGGTACCCGAAAATTATGCGGTATCGGACGATTAGGAGTGCTAGATCCTTCCCAGTAATGTGAGCTATAAGTATGATTCCTAGGTTCCGAATATGTACGCTTATCAAAAGGCATCGTAACATAACGCTCTGGCGTGCTTGCTGGAGGAGACAGCGGCATCGTAACATAACGCTCTGGCGGGCTTGCTGGAGGAGACAGCGGCATGCTACCGCCGGGTACGAGGGGTGCTGGTTCGGATGGCCATACATAGACATCGCGGAAGCTACCGCTGTTTACGGTGGATGTTCGTCGGGCCCGACGCCGTTCAGTGACATTGACGAAGCCCGAATCAGAATACGGCAATGGTGTGCCGGCTACATCAAAAGATACCATTTCTTCGCGGTAAGAAAGCCGTTTAGGTGAACGACGCTCGAATGAGTAAGGTTGGAATCTCTCGGATGACGAACGTTTCTTCCGTGACCCGGTTGTTGTCTCCCATAGGTCCATGTATCCCTCGGATGATCTCGATGAATTCATCAGGTTATATTCCGATGGACTTGTTGGTGGATTTAATCTCGGTGGAATCGGCGGTTTAATTGGTGAACATTTAGGTGAATGTTGACATTCCGATGGAGGCGGGCATTTTGTCGGTGAAGGTGGACATGCTGGTTTAGGTTTCGGTGGACATGGTTGAGGTTTCGGTGGAAGTTTCGGTGGACATGGCGATGAAGGTGGGCATGGTTTAGATTTCGGTGGACATGGCGGTGAAGCTGGACATGGTTTAGATTTCGGTGGACATGGCGGTGAAGGTGGACATGCTGGTTTAGGTTTCGGTGGAAGTTTCGGTGGACATGGCGGTGAAGGTGGACATGCTGGTTTAGGTTTCGGTGGACACGGTTGAGGTTTCGGTGGAAGTTTCGGCGGACATGGCGATGAAGGTGGACATGGTTTAGATTTCGGTGGACATGGCGGTGAAGGTGGACATGGTTTAGATTTCGGTGGACATGGCGGTGAAGGTGGACATGGCTTAGATTTTGGTGGACATGGCGGTGAAGGTTGACATGGCGGTGAACTTTGCGATGTGCTTGGCTTTGGGCTTTTTGGTGATTCTTTTCTATTGCCGTAAAATCTTTTTGAATTTATCAAAAATCCATTACTTTTAGTTGTTATTGGTCGGCAACTGCATCCATATCGAATGTGGCTCTTCAATATTTTAACATTTTTCTGTACCAGATAAGGACATTTTTTATATAAAAAAATACATTTATCAAAAAATATTTTAGCGCTATGATAATGTTAAAGTTATTTTTTTATTTTTAAACTAAATTTTTCATAACAATAATTAAAATAAGTATTTGAATTAAACGATTCTCATGAGAAAATACAACATAATAGTGATAGAAATGATCATTTTTTATCGTTGTTATTTTTATTTGCTACGTTCTTGGCGGAAATGTCCGGTTTCCTGTCGCTAGAATTTTTAGAATCCGCCACCCCTACTCTATTTGATTTTATTTTTTCAATACTTTCTTTCACATTTTTCCAAACCTTTTGTGGGATACCGCTCTCAACCGCTTTATCTTTCAACTTTTCTGCATACTTTCGCAGCTCTTCTAACCTTCGCTTGAGCTCCATTCGTTCTATTTGTTTTTGTAATTCTTCCCATCTGCGTTTTAATTCTAATTTTTCAGCTCGTTTTTTTAAATCGTCAAGTTTTTTTTTCACTTCAAACCCTTCAGTTTTGGATTTCGTAACTTCAGAAATTTCGTTAATCTTCTCTTTTAATTTACCCGATAAATTACTTTTTTCACTGTATTTGACATAATAAAACATCTCCAACAATTGATGACATGCACGAACGGTAAATACTTGATTGAAATTGATACATAAAATCGACATCGATGTTTTAGTGAATCTCAATGTCGAAAAAGCCTCTGTATAATTGATGAATTCTTCATTACTGTGAGGGTATCTTGTCAAAGTGTCTAAGCCATCAATTTCCAATAATTTGACTTCTTGCGGCAGGACCTTTTGATACATCCTCGAAAACTGATTGTCATCATCCACATAATCCGCAGCCTGCGGACAGACGGATAGCTGATGTGAAGGAATTCTGGTGTTCTCTTCCGTATAAGTATAAGCACGATAAATAGCTCATTGAGTTTTCCCTTGCACGCGTTGAATTTTTTCTTACATTTGTAAAATCATTAATACATTGGAAATTAACAAAATTTTACAAAGTTTTCCCACATGAGAATCGTTAATTTCAAAGCGTGGCACTGAGCCCTTGGATTTATATACAAATACATATTTCGATTCAATTACCTGCAATAAATCAGCAGAACAACTATTTCGAAGTATTGAATCAATCTTGATTGTCCGTTCAAAATGTGACACCAACTGCAACTTTGGTTAAGAGATGGTTGGAATTTCAAGCGTAAGCATTACAATTCAAAGTTCAAGTTTTTATCTCACTTTTGATGATTTAAATGTTTCGGCAGCGCTAAAGTCGTGAATACTTGAAACTATGCCATATCTACTCCAAATACCTTTGAAACATTTCGTCTTGTCACCCAATTCAATAACCTGTAAAATAAAATATAAAAAATATAATAGAAAATATAGCCAAATATTTTGTCAGTATAATATGTGTTAAGCATTCACTTATCAATTTAAGTCAGATTTTAAAATTCGGACATGTTTCATAAATAATTTGAACGAAAAATTAAGTGAAATGCATCAATTCGCCCAATATAAAAATTAAGAATATTTGATCGACACAGTTTCCTTATACTTACTTTGTTGTTGTGGCAAAGTGCATGGCAATTTCGGCGATTTAAATTTTTCACAACTAATTTGGATACTCGAGAAAGCATGTTCCTATAATTTCCTCAAACTTTTTATTATTTACAAACTTTTGCCAACAAAAACTCAGATGCCGTTGCCGACTCAGATTAGACAGGTTGGGTCTGCTTATGCCATCATTTGTTTATAAATAACGATGTACTAATGATTTTCATTCGTTTTCGACTTACACACATACGTGATAGGATTAGTTGTGTATTCTGATGAGTGAAGTTGATCGAGTGGGATTTTTTACGAATATTCGAAATTCAAAGCATACGAAATGCCATCTCTGGGAGATCGCGCATGTAAAGAAGATTGAAATAAAATCTTATCGAAAATATAGAAATTCAGAGATGACCGTAGATAAAGTAGATTACGATGTCGATAATTTATCTGAACTTACCTTGTAATAATACTCGATAAAGGGTAGAGTTGTATCAGTTCAGTAATTCAATATTTTAAATAAAATTTTAGCTATTCAATTGTTTAAATAAATGTTTAACTAAAATAATTATTGATGGTTTTTATCCGACGATAATTAGTATTTTTCTATAATGCAATCATGAGTGATTTTATCATTCTACCATTCAAATTTGTTATTGAAAATTATGTCAACTCGCATTTATTTAAAATTATTTTTTTATAGTAAACATTGACATGATTTATTTTCCGAATAATTTTCTACAAATTAAACTCATTGTTATTTAAAATTAAAAAAAAAAATCGTTGGGATTTTTCACTGAAACCCAATTTTCAAAAATGCTATGCAGTCACTTTGCTTTTTTCCGATAATCCATAATTTATTCTTAAACCTAGTATTTCAGAAAAAATTCTGATTTGACCAACCGTTAGTAAAGTAGACCACCGTATCTGATGCTTTTACTCCAAATTGAAATCATTCTAATACTCTACAAAGTAATGCAGCGGTTTGTTAATTGAAATAATTATTTAATATTAACAGTCTTGTAGATTTACTTGAAAATTAAATTTTCAACAAAACTGCATGTGATCTAAAACCCAGACCTTCTGCAACAATTTTTCAGGTATTCCTGAATGAAAAAAATGTCTTTATTTTTTCTTTTAATCTCGTGAGTCTAAACAGCCGTAAACCTTCCACTTTGGCACTACGACTTTTCAAGGCATATAACTATTTTGGTTATGTATGCGCAGAATTTTTTTAAGGATAATATAACTGAAACTAGTAAAAAATGAAAATTATGACATAAGTAATTGTTTAAAAATTTTATCGATAAAAATGTATGTTATTAATCTTTATTTTATTGATGAAAATATACATATATAATAATACATGAAATTTTAATATCCTTCATCTGACCAAGTGATTGTATAATCTGAATATTTTTTCTTGAGTAAATTCGTACTTATTTCATGATCAGCTTTTCCGAATCCCTGTGAAATTGAAAAATTTTCATTAAAAATATATTTTATTTGATCTAAAACGGTTCAACTTTATTTCTGCATTAGCGAGAAAATGTAAACACATCGAAGTACGGGATCTGTCAATGCTCTCCTGTATACTACTGTTATTATTGACATATGTACGAGGCACCCCCTACTTCTCGAAATTTGCGTTTTCTCGCTATTGCAGAATTAAAATTGCCACTTAAAAATCGCACGGGTAAATCCAGCAAAAGTGGACAGCTGGATCAGAAAAAGATATTTTTTTGTTGCGGCAAAATAATTTTGCAAAATTTAGCAACCGAATATAGCCCATAATTTCGTTGTATCAGCATAATGCCCTTTTCTGATACAGCTGTACACTTAGCTGAATTTACTCGTAAGATATTTTCCGTGTAAATCAATATTCATAAGAAGTAAGCAGTAATGGATAATTTTTACACCATTCTCTTCGAAAGGATATCCACAATAGGCAAAACCAATTTTACCACGCAATTTTCAAACATAAATTGGTTTAAATCGGTGTTTTTATAAAAATTGGAAAAATTTAAAAATTCGAATTTAAAAACATATTTACTGAGTACTTTAGACCATTACAAAAAATTGCTCTTGGTAAATTTCTTTAAATTGAATAAATTCTACGTTAAAAACGATTCAAAGTAAAAAAAACCGCTAATTTTGCAATTTTCAATAGCGTATATTTACATAAAAAAACAATATTTTCAATAGTGCTATCATTTTTTTTTGATCTTTGAACATCTCTCTATCAAATAACAATGTTTTTTTTCTGGATTCTTAATGATAAGGCAATTTTATCACGCTATTATGGATGTCCTTACGAAGGAAATGGCGTAAAAGTTATCTGGAATGATGGAATATAACATAATATATTACTCTATTTTTCCGACGTTTGCGAGGATATCGCGTCGATTATTATAATTTTGTTTCGTTTCAATATTGAAGCAAAAAAAGTGTTCGTTATCTGCGATCTTTATCTTTTTTATTAATTATTATTGTATTTTAATAAATTTAATTTAGTACCTGAGAATATCCGTAAACCTTGATTTTCTTAGTTTCGGCATCATGTTGAATTCGTCCTCCTCCAACGCATTTAGCTTTCAAATTGGTACTAATTTTTTTTAAAGCAATCTCTACTTCATCGAGAATGTCAGCTGCAATATTAAAAATGAAAATTAAAAACATGATCAAAAACGGTTTCTAGCATAATTCTTAATCAACTTTATCGATGTAGGATTGATATGCAATGTGCATAAGTTTATGATACAGATTGCAAGACTATACATTTTCGCTTATTTTCTATCAATTTGAATATTATAGCTTGACGAATGTTGATCGATTCGTTTGAAAACAACATTTGGACAACCGTAGTTTAGGATTCAGAAAGTTCCTCAAACTTCAACCACAATTAAACGAACTTGTGAAACTGTTTGCTATAAGACTATCGATTAGTTATTGTATTTACTGATACCTAATAGCATTTGCTAATTAAAAATAAGAGGGCGGGAAATATAATTCCATCGAATTAATGCAGTGTCTCGGTGTGTTCACGCGATATAAATAACGTGTGCTCTCATAATTAAACGCCTGGCGTTTACACGTGTGCGCGCGAAGCCAGATTTGAGCAAAATGATTCAGAACTAAGAGGATCCCTCCGGCAACGGGTACGATTGTTTGAGCAATTCAAGTGCAGCTACAGCTGTGTGCGCACTAAGTACTTTTGGTAAAAGATAAGAGTTTACCTTTACGGGTGTTACATAAATAGCATTAAAGAGACAACAGACTTACAAATATGTGTCATTATTTGTACAAAAAATCACTTTCTCAGCCAGTAAAAATAGGTACATATCAAGTTGACAAGCGATTAAATAATTGAAAATACTATCACGGACGTCGTTGTTTGTTTAAATATTTTGTCTTTTACTCAGGGGACGTATCAGTTAGAATTTTCATATGAACAGATGAAGCTTGACGAGGCATGCATAAATAATGTAATATGAACTTATACGCAGACACCAGGCTGCAACTGTGTCTTTTATTTTTAGATTATTACACGAATATGTGACACACACTGCATTCCTGGAGGGCAATATAACATTTCAAAGTCAAAAATTTATGTCAAGCAGTATTAAGTATACGAGCTCGAGCTTTTCTTTTTCTTATACGTACTGGCGCTCTTTGAAGATATCCAAAGAATATCGTATGGGGGGATACTATATTTTTACCTTCAGTTTTTAAGCTCTTGTGCAAATTATACTGTTATTTAATATCTCATTTTGAACCGTTCTATTCATATTTACAAAAAAATAAACTATAGTAATAAACTATGATAAACTATTATACTTGATATTTCTCGGACACTAAAATAGCAAATTGTTTTATTGATCGATACGAACTCAAATTCATGATTGTTTTGCGCTCGTATTTGTATTTAATATTATTCATATCATTTATTTAGCAACAAATTCAACAAGATGAACTTGAAATGCTGTAAGCTCACATAAATACGAATATCAATTAGCAAGCGGATCATGATGCTCGAGTTGCATCAATAAAATCTCTGAATTAAAATACCCTGAATAGCCTTTATTGAAAAAATTATAATATTCACGGGCTGCAATGAGGTTTAGCGATATATCAATTTTATATCTCCATTTTTTTGCACTCTCTGGCAACAATTCGTCAAAAATGTGATATTGACGCCTTTTAGGTACTCTTATACTCTTTTATGAGAAAACAAAGATTTTATAAGCACAAGTAGTTAAAATAATCTCGCAATTGTTTCACGTAAATTTCACCGTTGGTTATCAATTTCGATAAAAAAAATTAAAATACACTTATTGCAAGCTGTTTTGTTGACTATCCAGATGCGCAGTTTTAAAATTAATTTTTGACTGAGCAATCGCTCACATTTTAATCTTTTATAATCTTTCATCGCCGTAGTTTTCAGTTTAACGTAAAGCGAAAGCTAACAAATTGCGGCTATTTTTAGAAAGCGAAACAATGGTATATTATAAACAAATCCAATGCGACTAACGAGTTTATGCAGCTTGTAAACGCAAGACACAATCATAAGTTAGAGCAAAGGTAGACGGTAGAGGGATGAAAACAAAAAGCAGTCGTAATCTTAGTTGAGCGCACGAGAGCGACGGGCATAGATTAATTGGTACCTTAATTAATTTTGTTCCATCGTCGTCGAGCAACGTCGTAGAAGTCGCAAGTCGCTTTGCCTCGCGTATATATATAATATATATAAATACATTATATACCTGTGCCCGTACCTCAGCGGCTATATATAGAAGCTATGTACATACCGAAGCTGATATATACACGTATACGCACGTATACATACATACATAAGGCTCGTTAAGGGTGTTAAATATATACCACGGTACATGTGCAATGTGCATGTGTGTAGATAAAGTTATGATGTTTGTACATCATAATTTCTCATTTTACGTATCTGGATGTATTTTAATTAATTTTTTTATGGAAAACAACTTCGATCAACGAGTTCAGTGGTGTTATGAAAAACTGATAAAAAAGTCGAATATTTTGCTTGATTAAACGTGGAAGCTGCTTTCACACTTTTCAAGATTGTCAAACATAACATGAATGGATATTTTTTTCTTATTTTTTAAAGGAAATAAATTGAGAAAAATTGCTGTAAACAGTGCTGTTTATAATGCAATAAAATCCAGTAATACAATAAAAGAAAATTATTTTGTATTCATTATAAATGGTTCATTCTCCCCTTGCACAATGCTTTCGCATCTAATTATAATAATCGACTCGATAAACTTCTCATAAAGTCAATCTAGCCGGCATTTTTAAATTCGTACACATGCTATAAATTCAAGTGTTGATAATTTTTTCCATCCGAACGAAATTTCTTAACGAAAGAAATCGTTATAGCAAGAACATCGCATACTATTCTTGGCTTTTTTTTTATTTTTTTATTATTACCTGCTCGCTTGGCCACATCAAGATGAATTAGGTTGACCAGTCAATGTCACAGGACAACAATCAATTACCAAGTTAAGCGACACATTATTAGCACACGCACACACACGTAGCTGGAGGATGCGCAACATTAACGTTCGCGTTTCGGCGATTAATTAACTGATCTGCCCTGTATGCGTAGTATTGATCCAAAGTTCATAATATTGTACACGTATATTTCCAGAACGATGATATTATTCATGCTTATGTATAATTGCAAGCGAATGCTCGGAGATTATATGTGGAAAATGAATTTAGCTTTGTGCGTTACGTCAAAGACTAATGTGTGAATACTCGATTTCGGCTGTTGCTTTGAAAGTCGACTTTTAAATAATCTTTATCAGTGCAATTCTCATTTTATATATAAACATTAAAAACTCTAATAGTTAATTTTCAAATTTAATGTTGATTAGTAGTTTTGATTAATCTCAATTATCAGTTCAGATTTTCAGTCATTTACAGATTTTGTTATTAAAAATAGCAATTAAATAATGAAGTGATGCTAACGAACATAGTGAAAAGAAATAGAAATGGTAAAATACTAGAAAAAACTTTACGATACTCAGACAGCAATAACTTATTTAAAAAATGATCTTTTTAGTCTGACCACAAGACGTATTAAATTTTCAAGCATTTTAGAAATTTATTGCTATTATAACTTATTCATTTCTTTGATAGAAAAAGTATGAAGAGCTCCACAAGTCACAAACAACAATTTTAAAACAGCAAACGGTTTTTCGTGTGGGTAGATAATATTGCCATTCACAAATCAGATGAAAGAGTCGAACGTGAATCGAGGATCAGAAATCGCAAACGATTGAACGTTTCCGAGTGAACGTGCATGTACAAGATAGACCCAATAGAGATTTATTATATTATACCATCTATATATAGGTGAAAATATAGGTAGTACCCGAGCTCTGGATCTTTCTTTAATCCCACAGTAAAGCTTTTATGTTACGCATGACAGGTAGGTAGTCAAATTTAAACACAGTATATTTTTTGCATAAAAGAGATATAATTTAATTTTAAATGTCTGCAAAAATCTTGGCAAAGCCTTTGGGATTTCTCCTTTGCTTATTCTTTTTTTCTCAAACATCGTAATTAAATTTAATTTAATTAAAAACGAATTAGGCCACGATAGAACGTCTGATGAGCATAAAGTCTCTTTGAGAGATGAAAACAAAAACAATAAAATGAAAGTATTATAGATTAGCGTATAAAGAACTAGCCTTAAGATATCGATATGATCGTTAAGAACGGAGAAAGTCGATATACCCCGCGTGAGTAGTGCTCAACAATAGTTTGAGATGTTCATTGACATATTATCTGAGATCGTAACATTTCTCAACAAAGAAACAGCACTTTTGCCTATTAGATGCCGGGCACGAGGAACTCGAATAGTAGATAAAACGGAAAACCCTTAAAAACGAGATAAAAACGTCGAGTGGTATCAAAACGGACATGCACAAAAAAGCCCCTAATTACAACTGTTCAAGTATGCACGTCATAAAGAATGAAAAAATGTCCTTTTTTTTATATGGTGCGCGTTATAACACTTTTGCAGGATCGAAGGGAAAATATTTTCATTTGCTACTATTGTGAGCTTTCAAACGGAATTACGCAACTCCGAGCTATATATGGCTATGTAGCTTATATATAATAAACATAGCTGGCTGTCGGCAAGCGAGTGGTTTATAATGACCTTCGAAATAACACCCTCGCGCGCGACTCGAGCTTACACGTCTCAAAATTGTACATGGCGATAGGACGAGGAAAATTTATTATACATCCGCGTAAATCACTCGTAATTCTATATAATACGCATCACGCCTCTAATTGACACTGATGCACGTGACGATTGTTCTTGACGCGAGAATCTCTACAGTAAACTAAGTTTCCTATGTACATTGGCGCGCATGTGTAGCACGTATATTCGTGTACAAAATGTACCACAGAGTGAATCAAGTGATATATGCTCTTTAATTATGCCATAGAAATTATTCATTGCGCTATTCGCTGTTCTATATCGGCCAAGCGTCAAATCCTAATTTTTCCTACGCCACGCCACGTGTCGTACATAGCAATCAAGTGCCATACATTTTTCATAACATTCAGTTTTTCTTACTATCTTAATCGGGAAATATTTAAC